GCAGTTGTGCTGGTGAAAAGTGCCCTAGGAAAGCTCAGGAGAGGGGCTGCCTTGTTCCTTGTGGGCAGGACCGGTGCTCCTCAAAGCTGCAGGGACACAGCAAAGCCCTCCAGCTGGCAAAAGGCTCAGAAACCAGGGTGGATGTTGAGCACACGTCCCCTTCTCCCTTCTGTTCTGGGCTACAAGCACCTCCAGAGGGATGGAGCTGAGGGCAGGTGGGCAAACAAAGAGGTTGTCTGGCTCATTTCTCTCCCTCCCCCGGCTCCACGCACTGTTTCATGCCTTTGGCACCTTCTTTGGGAAAAAGCTCCCATTTGACAACCCAAAATCTCCTACAAGATTTCATCTCGGCTGCAAGGAGTGGACCCCGAAGAAACGGGGAAGGAGAAGACATAAAGCTCCTTTTGCATGAGCCATTCTCACAGGAGGGAAACTGAGTTTTTTTTCCCATCCCATTCCCTGTGCAAAGTGCTTCCCTGTAGTCCTCACTCCCTTCCCTGCCCTGCAGCTAACATCACTGACTCCTTCTGCTGTGCAGTCACCCAGCCCTTGACTTTGGGCACTGCTGTTAAGAGCATTTGAGCTCCTAGGGCCAATTCAGAAGTAGGGAGCATCTCTACCAGAACATAGCCAAGGTCTGAAAACTGGCCTTCCAACCCTGCTTGAGCAGTTTTGTGTCCACTCAGTGTCACTAAAAGGTGAACAGGTGAAGGCAGCAGAAGGCTGCAAAGCTGTCAGGATGCCTTAGCCTAGATCTTGGCCACAGAGCTGGTTGGAGAGATGAGGCCTCACCGGGGAAGGAATGGCATGGGCAGCACCCAGTGGCTGTCTTTGTCATGGCAGGGCAAGTATCTGCAGCACCATGCAGGGAAGCCCTCAAGCTCCTGTCTCAGAAGCAACAGAATCATGCACCAGCAGAGGCAGCTACCCCTTGCAGTTCTCATCAGCATGAGCACAGTCATAGGATCACAACTTGTAGGTGTCCAGCTTGCTTCCTGAGTGGTCAGAGTCCTGCCCTATTCTCTGTCTCAGCTCTAACGGGGTTGTGCAAAGTGCTTGAACTGTGCAAGGCAGGCAGACACAGGAATTTTGTTTCTTGCAGGTGGTGAGCCTCCCTTCTCTGCACTGCCACACGTGATAGAAGGTAAAAGCCAAGGCTGGAAAACTGGAGAGGGAGAAACAACCCGCTGGGAAATCATTTGATTGAATAATTAAGAAAGTCTTGATTGCAGTTTAAAGGCTTTGTGTCCCTTGGCCATCCACAGGTATACACCCACACCACAAACCTCACTCCTGCTCTTCTGGACCTCTGTTGGCCCAATTTATATTGCCTCTAGATGAGGCTTTGGCAACTGATCCAGCACCCCTCGTGCGACGCGGTCGCAGAACCAGCAGCCACGGGGTGTCCTCCAGGCTTGCTGTGGACGTTATCAGTGGACTGTGAGCACTGAGTTAAGTGCCTTACTCAGATCCAACCATGAATTGAATTCGTAGAAACCTCCCTGGCAGCCAGGTGCCTCAGGGGCTCCTCTGTGGCGGGTTGTTGCCCGGGCGCGGTGCCGCATGGCGGAGCGGAGACCTGGCTGGGCTCCGGAGCTTCTCAGTGCCCTCCTAGGACTGCAGGATTTTTGCAGTGCCAATCACCCTGAGCCCTCCTCCCTCCTGCAAGCGGTGGCAAGCAGCAGCTCCCTGCTCTCCAGTCCCTGCAATGCATCAGGAAGGCAGGTGCTCGCAGCTGCCAGCTCCACGGTACCGCTGGGACCACGCTCTTTAGCTTAACTTTAGTCACTTGGAGGCGATTTGTCTGGACTGGTGACTCACTCCTTGCTCTTGGGTTTGTTTTTTCCCCTGCCCTCCCCCTTCTTGTTCTCTCTCTGCTGTGCCTGGCAGGGGGAGCGAGTGCCAGGACCTGCCTGTGATGGGAGCTTAGGGGTGTTAATGCTGAAATGTTCTGGTGAGAGGTTGTCCCCAGCAACCTGCCGGGGCAGGCACCACGGAGAGGAGTCTGGGCTTGGGAGTCCCCTCCCAAAGCATGCACCTCATCCTCTGCGTGTCTCAGAGGCGAAACAACCTTTTCCTTTGGAGGCTGAGGAGAGGAAGGTGTAACCAAGGTGTAATCACCCTTGTCCCCCCCAAGGTGTGATGCATCATGGACAGGGCAAGAACGTACGGTCTGTTTATTGACTCTTCTTCACCACATTGTAACCTCAGAAAGGGAAGGGGCAGCTGGGGTGGGAAGGGGTGGGGTGCTTCTCATCTGTGCAAATGGACAAAACAGTGCTACGGACCTACAACAGTCTTTCAAGCCAGCAGAGGTGAAAAGCACAGTGACCGCCACGAGGTACTGAGCTCCGGGGTGCTGGGCAGAGCCTGGCGTCAGGACAGGGGCAGGAGCAGGATCTGCAGCCAAAAACATGACAGACCTTGTAAAACCTGCTGGCTCTTTTCCTCTTTTCCCTTCCTATGCCCTGGTGGTGGTGGTGGTAACACAAAGGGGCAGGGTCCCAGCTAGGAAGCTCTCACTTTGGTCTCTCCTCAGGCTGTGGCCAGCTTTGGCAATCTTCCTGAAGCCTTTCTTCTCCCCTCTGCTGCCTTGAGTTGGAAGGAGAAGGGCAGGGAGGGACAATATGAGGAGTAAAAGAGTCCTAGGGGAGAAGCTGCTGCCTGCCAATGAACAGCAATGCAAAAACCCCCTTGAGGTGAGCAACTGCCATGAATAAGGAACAGCTTTTGGTTTGTTTGTTTGTTTTTTTTTTTCTATAGGCAAAGGCTTCAGCTTCACAGCTCTCACAGCAGGTCATCCCCAGGGCAGCCTGGATGAAGTTCCCCCTTTGTGGCAGAAGGTAACAGACAGTTCTTCTCCGTGAGGGCAGAGGTGGAAAATTCTGGGTCATCCTGCACTGGGAGATGGGGGATGAACCTGCCCATGGGCAAGCAGCAAGGGAGGGCAAGTGGTTCAGGGGCCCATGTGCTCCACCATGCCATTCCCTGTCCTTCGCCCAAAGAGGACTGCTGTCCCCCTCTCTGTCTTTGAGGAGAAACCTTCCCACCAGACACAGTCCAGCAACCCAGCGGCCTTGACCATCCAGGTTTGGGAGCAGGAAGGTGCCACTGGTGTCACTCCCAGGGATCCTTTTCACACTTACTCAGCTCAGAGGAGGCTGCACACCCGTTTCTTCGTCCGGGTTGGCTGGGGACAGAGGACTGCTCGGATGGCCTCATCAAACACTGTCTTGAGGCCACGCTGCGTCAGCGCCGAGCATTCCAGGTACTTCACGGAGTCTGGTGGGAGGAAAGCAGGTGAGGTGGGGGGGAGGAAGGGAGCTGGGATATGCAGTGGGGACACCCAGGAGTCTCTGCCAACGATGCCCAGGAGAGAAACTCACAGGAGGGATACTCTCAGGTCATGACAAGTAGAGAGGTGCATGTGCCTTCAGCATGATGTGAGCTTCTGGCTCACAGCACATCAGGCTCCAAGTGTCATTCAGACTGCTTTGGCCTCAAGCCCCTCTGGTGGCATCTCAAATCACAGCCTCAAGCCCCGCTGGTGGCATCTCAAATCACGTGGCACCTCCCTTTTGGGACTTTGTCCCCTCAAGTTCTCAGAGACCTTGTGCTAGAAAGTAAGGCATCTGGCTCTTGCCTGAACTGAATAAACACAGCTCAGGTGATGGAAGCCAATAAGGATTGTCAAGACACACCTCACTCCCTCAGGCTGTCTTGACTTCAGGACAAAGCTTGCCAGATGTACAAGACCAGGGTTTGCCTATTGTCCACCCCTGTAGCCAGAGCAGAACCATCACTTGAGGCTGTTACCCTGGTTGGACACCATCTCCTCCAAACTCCTGGTTGAAAACTTCTACCCCAAGCTGTACTTTCCCCCCCTCTCTGCTGCCTCTGGGTGTTGCAGCTGAGAGGTCACTTGGGACAAGCCCTTGTGCATCTCCCAAAAGAGAGGAGGGAGCTGATGCCCCTGAGATGAATGATGGGGTGAGACACACGTACCCAGGGCTGCAGATATAAGCCCCAGAAGTCAAGGGCAGGGACAGGAAACTGCAGTTGCAGCTCTTCCTGAGAGATGTCAGAGAACTCACTCTTCCACCCCTGGCCGGATGTGGAGGAGAGGCCTCTGCCCACACAGCAGCTGTGGCTTTCACAGAAGAACACTGGCCCGGAGAGAAAGAGCAGAGTAAAAGGGGAGGGGAATGTGCAAGTGTGTATTTGTGTGTGGGTGTGGAGGATGGTGGCCAGGAAAAGGCAGAAGACAGAGGGTTGAGGCTTCCTCAAGGGGCAGACCTCCCTCCTGAGTCTCCTGAAGTGCGTTTTGCCCCATGAGCCTTGATGGGTCTCCCTGTGTCCCTCAGAGATACCACTGTGAGCTACCTCTACAAAGCCTCATCAGGTTTGAGGGGAAGCCCTTATCTTCTGCCAAGAGGTCCAAGGTGTTGCCCCAAGCACGTACCAATTTCCTTGGCCAGGGCAAGGCCCTGAGGGTATGTAATGGGGGAGAGCTTCTTCTCCTTCAGCTTCTCAATGGTGTCCTTGTCATCACGAAGGTCCAGCTTTGTGCCCACGAGGATGATGGGGGTGCTGGGGCAGTGGTGCCTCACCTCAGGGAACCACTAGAGAGCAAAATGGCAAAGATGTGAGAAGAAGTCACACATAGGGGCATGCCCAAGGGCAAAAAAGAGACACTCCTGAAAAAATGTCACCAAGAGAGTTAACACCTTGTACTTCCTCACAGCCCTTCTGCCCAGTGTTGGGCACCATGGTCTGGCTTAAGCCAGCCCTTGCTGCTGGGTCCTCAGGCAAAATCCCTGACCTGGAGTTCTGATTCTCTTAAGCAAAAGCACAAGCTGCTCTCCATCCTTCCCGGCTCCCCGAAGCACAAGGAAGAACCTGAAAGTGATGGGAAAAGTTGTACTTCTCACCATCAATCTCTCCCTTCTTCCCTCAATTCCCATCCAAATACTGTGGGTACCTGCTTCTCATACCCCATGGTCTGGTCCTGGGTGTCTGTGCTCCAACAGTCTTGACTGACAGATGCCATCAGAAGATGTCTGTGGTCTCACAGCTCAATAGCTCACCAAGATGGATACTAACCTTCTTTTAGATGACTTAAAAAAGACATCTGATGGAAGCTAATATTCCTTCTGGCTGACCTGAATGAACCTAGATGTCCTATTCCCAGTCTCCCTCCGCAGACCACCATCAACCTCTCCCTCCTCAACCCCTGATGGACCAGGAAGCTCTGTCTCACCTTAGCACGGACGTTTTCATAAGATGCTGGGCTGACGAGGGAGAAGCAGATCAGGAAGACATCCTGTAGACATACAACCACGGCACAGAGTTAGGATGAGAGCATGGGACTGCAAAACCAGAGGCAGGGAGGAGAGGGAAGAGCTGTGTGGACTCCCTCTGAGCCAGAAGGTCATGCTAGGGAAAGCTGTCTCTCGTGTAACACGGCCCTGACTGCTGCTGCTAGAGGAGGGAAGGATATTTGCTCCCCTGACTCATGGTCACCATGGCCACCATTATCAGAAAAGCCAAATGTTTAACTAGGAGGATGGGGTTTTTGTGGTAGGCACACTCATCCTCATGGGAAACAGCCTGACAGCGTCCTGCTCGTTTCTCACAGAACACCAGAGAACCTTCAGGACAGAATCATTCTGCCTGCTGCTGAGACAGAGGGAGGCTGCTGAGCACACGTGCAGGACACAGTGAGGTGGAGTTTTGGGTATCCACACAAGCGCTTCTCCCGGCATGACAGAATTTAGACTTCCATTAAAACCAAAAGAAAACAAGCCCAGCTCTTCAGGGTTTTTATTTCATTCAACTTCATCTAGCTAAAAAAAAGGGTTTCAAGCCCAGCCTACCCATTTCCATACTTCTACAACCACCAGAGGGAAAGATCTTGGAGAACAGTTGCCCCACCTGTCTTTGGGACGTGTCTCAGGTTGGGTGCAAGCATGTTGTTGAGAAATATGCTGCTTGCAATGGCTGCAGGAAGAGTCTAGGCAAACAACTAATAATAGAAATCCAAATTTTGGGTGGTTGAACCTGAAACAAATAGTGTCCCTCAATTCCCAGCCCTTTCAGTTACAGTGGCAACCTTCAGACCAGTGCCTGAGGCAGCAGGGTCTTCTGAGCTTCCCAAAAAACTCCTTGGAACAACATCCTCTAGAGAAGGTGATCTCTAAAGCCCGAAATTATTCTGTTAACGTGGTGAAAAACTGGCGAACAGAGTATCTGAAGCATCCATTTGTTCTGCTAGAGGTTTGGGCTTAGTTGACGCATCAGCAGATCAAATACACGTGTCCAGACATCTTTTAAAAGGCAGGAACCAGAAGAGTGGCATTCACAGAAATGTCAGAAGCTCCTGGCTCAGCTCCTAAATTCCCTGAGCTGCTTAAACTTTGCAAAGGGAGGCATTTTTACCAGGGCTGTGTCAGGCATCTGCCCCACACTGAAATCAGTGTCAGTTGGGCTCATAAGTACCTTCAGATGGGCTCATAAGTATCTTCTGATGGGCTTATCTTCAGATGGGCTCATAAGTATCTTCATCTGAGCCCATAAGTATCTTTGAAGATCTCAGTTTTCTTGCTAGGTTTTACCAGCGATGAAATTTAGATAGAGGCTCAAAAATACCCCTAGATGTCTTCCATCTAAGAACGAAACCCATCACCTTCAGAGTTGCGTTATATCAACAGAGGTGTTCTTAGGAAAGGGCAGGGAGAGACAGGAACAGTCCCATCATTGTTTGATGGCCAACGTTGATTTTTGCAGTGGGGGACAGAGGCATATCTGAGGGAGGAAGGATGGAGGAGGAGGGTGGAGGGTGACCCACCGTCTGCGGGTAAGAGAGTGGCCTCAGCCTGTCATAATCCTCTTGTCCAGCAGTGTCCCACAGCCCCAGATTCACAGGCTTGCTGTCGACCATCACATTGGCAGAATAGTTATCGAACCTGAAATTCAGAGATACAGACCATGGCTCCAACAGGAGAATAAGGAGCTTTTCCAGTGGTGTAGATGGGGTTCAGTAGGTGCACCCAGGAGAAAAGGGCAGTGACTCCTTTTCTCAGCTCACCTTGGTGATGCTGGTTTCCTGGGAACATCTACCTTATGGATTCCCCACTCGGCATCAACCTTCCCCCATCACCCATCAATCCTGGGCTGCAGCTCCACCTTTGCCACCTTCCATGAAGTCCATGTTCATGTTCAGTTCCCCACTCCTTTCCTCAGTATCCTAGATCTGTTTCTGCTCTAACCAAGCCTCTGTCTGTCTTTAGTGCTCTAAACCCCAGCTTCCTTCTTAAAACTGAAGTACCACCCATGTCTCTAGCTCCCTCAGAACCTTGCACTCCCCAACACCCCTGCTGGAACTGAGGCCAAGGTGTGTCCCCTTACTCTTGGACAATCCAGCATGAAGTGTATGAGAACAGTTGTCGGAATTGCATGCTTGGGAGAAAAGACTTAATGGAGATCAACAGAGATTAAAGACTTAATGGAACATCAATAGAGATGTTCCTCTCCTCCTCCTCCTAGAAAATCTCCAGTTCCTTTTGGTATATATATTTTTTTTAGGCTAAGGTGAAGGAAACCAGTGATGGGAAGAAACCAACACAAAGACCTTGTGAATGTGCTCACAGCAGACACCAAAAATGCATCTGGCCACTCAGACCAAACCAACCCTAAACCTGCTCCTTATTCCAGCAGTCTGCAGGTCTGTCCCAGCCTCACACGTCCATCCACTGGATTGCACAGTGCTTCTCCACGGGGGTTGTCAGTGCCTGCTCCAATGACAGTGGACAAGGAAGGAATTCAGGACCCTTCTCCATCCAACCGCCTTCTCGTGGGTCTGGCCCAATTTTTGGAGCTTAGTGCCTGGTTGTTTTGCCTAGCAGGACCCCACCTACTACTTATAAACTTAACAGATAGACCATTAGCTTCACTCGTGTCTCCCATATATCCCTTTCACACTAGGGTCTTGTAAGGCCTCTTGTGCTTCTGGTGAAAGGTGAAAGGTTCTTCACCCCTTTGCATCCTTCCCTCCATGCCTCCCACCCACCACAGGACCTGTTTATGCATTACTCACACAGTGGGGATGTATTCTCCTGGGAAGGCATTGGTGGTATAGCTGATAAGGAGACAGGTTTTCCCCACAGCTCTGCAAGAGAAAGAAGAAACCAGCAGGAAGTCACGGAAGTCACCCAAGCTGTCTGGCTTGGGTGAGTGGGGATGGGGCAAACCTTCCACACCTTTAAGCCAGCCCTCTGAGGACACCCCTGGAAGCAGAAACCCCTCCACAGGAACCACTCAGCACATAGCAGGAAGACAGACAGGATGTCACTCAGAAATGTTGTTTGCCTTTGAACTCAAGGACTTGTTTTCATGGGCTGGTACAGAGATCACTCAGCTGTAAAGCATTTCCTCTGCCATGGAGGTGAGCCCATTTTCCATGCCCAGAGCTGCCTGCTCATGGCCAGGGGAGGTGTGTTGGGTAGTTGTGGATGTGCCACGACAAAGCTGCCCAGCCAGCTTCAGCCCCTGGACACTGGCACTCCTCTTGCTTCTGCCAAGGGCTGAGGGCACCTCTTCTTGATTTAGCCACAACACCTTCCAGACTTGCCTCTCTCAGCACCATCTGCAGAGAGAGCAGCCTGCAAGGTGCCTCTCCCTGTGGCTGCTGGAGGTGTTTCTGAGCTAGAAGCTGGTGCTTCCTCTACCCTCAACCTCCCCTGCCTTCATGTTGCAGCAGGATGGAGTGCAAATAAGCCAGGGTAACAGGACAGTCCAGACTGGGTGAGAGCATTGGAGTGAGCTGGGAAAGAGGGCAGCAAGGCTGTCAAGAGGAGGAGAAGATGCTGGGGGCAAGGTGAAACCTGTGGTGAAGGAAAGAAGTGGAGAGAAACTGGAAGAAAACAAAGCAGCCAGGATGGGTGTGGGAAGGAGAATCCTTCTCCTGGTGGGCTGCTGTTTCTTAGGTCTGTGGGACCTGGGAAAGTCTGGCCACGTTTCCATTACAGCATGTGTAAAATGGAGGTGGTGAGAGCAACCTGGCTCCTCAGGCATGGGGTGGGGGAGATGTCTGCCTCGGGAGGAAGGCTGGAGTCCCGCTGCTGAGTATGCTCCAACCATCTCAGCTGTACCCATGAAGTCCTCTGCTGCAGTGCTGGAGCCCTGCCTTTTTGTGTGCCCTTGACAGGCTCCACTGGCATCTTCTCTCTGGTCACAGGGCACCAGCATCAGGCTCTGGGGCAGCTGAGGAGGAACCTGAACTCTTTGGCACGCTCTGACTCTTGCTTCTTCCTGCTGCCACCTCCTTTTCTTAGATCCTACTCTCTCAGTCCCTTCTTCTCCTCGGTTCCTTTGCTTCCCTCTTGTCATTGAGATACTGAGGGAGGGCTGTGGAGGCTTCCTGAAGCTCTACAGGTAATGCCTCAGGAGATCTAGGGGGGACTGTGTGTGGGTCAGCCGTGAAAAGAGGGTTCTGAGTTAGTCTGGTTGAACACAGGAGCAAAGGGGTGAAGGCTACAGCAAAGCTGTTGAGACAGGAGGTGAGGTTAGTGGTTCCTGGGCCTAAACTCAGGGAGTGTTCAGAGATCACTGATGTGTGATGGAGAGGGGGCTGTGGGGCCAGAACAGCTCTGAGGCAACAGGAGGGGCTCATCCTGGGCAGAAGGGCCTGTGGTTGGTAAGGCTGAGCCAAGGGAGGGTGACATGGCTCCACTCCCACTGGAGTTGTCCATCCAAATTTAGCTTGCAGCCTCCTCTTAGAGGTTACAGTGTTTATTTGGGGCTCTGCCCTTCCTTGTCCTCTCTCCCTACCCCCTTTCCCCAGCTAACATGCACTGTTATGATTGCAGACATCTTCCTCGGGCAAGTTCTGAAGGAGGAAGTGACTGTGGGGAGCAAGGCTGCTGCAAATGTCTCTTCATCTGCTACCTGAGAGCTGCCCCAGATAACAGTCTGGCCAGCTCCTAGCTGGGAAACAAATTAACCTACTCCTGCTAAATGTGGACTCTCCTCCCCTCCCTTCCCTCCCTCCCCTGCATCTACTCATCTCACAGGGCAAGAGGAGGACCTGTGCACCCCATCCCTTCCCCCTCAGCAGTAGTGACAGCTTCCCTTATGGATGGCTTAGACTGGGCCCTTTCCAAGGATCACGGGACGTGGGCAGTGATGCCATCATGCTGTGAAGGCAAGGTTCACCTATCTCGGTGGAAAGAGCTCCTCCTCCTCCTGCCCACAGAAACCCCTTGCCAAAAAGTCTCCCCCCCACACCTCAGCTGCGTTGAGAAAAGCTGAACACAGAGCCACGGGTGGACATCTCCTCAGGACCACAGCGCCGTGCCCCCTCCCAGTCAGTCCCAGTCAGCAGATGGCTGCCAAGGAGCCATTCACCTGCACGAGAATGCTTGTGCCTCTTGGATTTTAAACCTGACTCCTGCCTACAGCTTGAGCCTGGCAGCAGCACCACCACCTCCTGCTCACGGGACAGACTTGCTCCACTTTCCATCCCCCTTTTGCAGATGCCCTTCAAAATACCCTCTCCCATACCCCAGAGGAAGGTCGCCCAGCCTGGGGAAGGAAGGGATGGGATTCCATCTCAATCAAGGAGGGAATGAAGCCTGCAGGAGGCCAGAAGCAAAGCTGGGGAAGTTTCACCAAGCAGCCACCTTCTTTTCTTGCCCTTTGTCACCGCCCCTCCCTCCCTGCAGCCCCAGCAAACCCGGGGGGGTACCTACCCATCTCCCACCACGACACACTTGATGGCTTGCATCTCTCTAGATCCGTGGTGGAGGAAAGCTCCTGGGGCAAGAGCACCTCAGGCCAGGGCAAACAGCAGGGAGAGACGGGCAAATTTGGGTATCAGCCCTTGTGCTGCAGGTTGCAGGGAGGGAGGAAGTGGAAGAGGGAACTTTACTCGATGATTACCCTCTGGTCCCTCCTCCCTTCCCACCACAGCAGCAGCTCTGCAGCCCAGGCCGTTAGCTGAAGGCGGGGCATGCATGACCTCACCCTTGGGGTGATGACTCTTGTCAGTTCTTTTCTCTCTCGTGTCTCACCCACTCTTCCCACCCCATCCCAGTGAACAGCTGGGGACACCAAACTGCTTTGAGCAGGGAGCTGGACAAGGGTTAGAAATGGAGTGAGAAAACAGAAGGATGGATTTTCCTCATCCCTCCACGATCAGCCAAGCTTTGGAGGAGGTGTAAGCAGGGAAAGGGAATCTGAAGAGGGAGAAGTGGGGTGCCATGGGACAACAAAGAGTTTTCAGGTCTTTCCAGTGCCCCTGATTGTCACTGGCAAAAAGTCACAAGGGTGTTTCCCATGAAGGCTGAACAAGGAAGTTCAGCAGCCTCTGGGAGGCAGCAGCCATCCCACAGCTCCTCTATTCCTCTTCTCCTGTGGGGATAAGGTCCCCCAGATTAGAGAACAAAGAAAGACTGTGTGAACCTTCCAGTTCACCATGAAGTGGAGCAAATGCATCGAGGGACACAGCCCCTAACATACGATGAAAGCCAAGGCTGGTGGGTGAGAGGAGCCCCTGCAAACCAACTTCACCCCATCCAATCCTCCCTTCCTCCTGTGCAAGAGCAGCTAGGTGGACCTGCTGCCAGACCTCTTCCATCCTGTCATAGAAATACCATCACAGAATGCTTTAAAGGTCATCCAGTCCAATCCCTCTCCAGTGATCAGGGACATCTTCAGCTAGATTAGGTTGCTCAGAAACCTGTTGAACCCAGCCTTGAGTGTTTCCAGGGGTGGAGCTTCTACCATCTCTCTGGCCAACGTGTTCCAGTGTTTCACTGCTCTCTTTGTAAAATATTTCTTCCTTATATATAGTCTAAACTCTCCTCTTTTATTTTAAAACCATTATTCATTGTCCTAGCACTACAGACGCTATGAAAAATCTGTCCTCATCTTTCTTGCAAGCTCCCTTTACGTATTGAAAGGCTACAATAAGGTCTCCCTGGATCCTTCTCTTCTCCAGGCTGCTCAACCCCAGCTCTCTCAGCCTGTCCACATTGTCCTCAGAGGATAAAAAAATCTTACAGTTAAGCAACAAAGAGAAGAAGGAAGCAATCACCTTAAGAAAAAGAGAGATAAGGAGCAGAAAGATCCTGGGAGGCTCTGCTCCTTCCTTTCCCTTCTCAAAATGGGAGTCTCCATCCTCTTCATCCTCTTCTTTTTTTCTCCTCCCATGCAATAATAAGTCTGGAAAAGTGGATATGTGAACACACCTGAACTGAGCAGTGAATGGGCAGGAGATGCTTTTTATGAAATAAGGAGTGTGATGGCACAGAATTAGAATTTCCTGGCTTGGTCACCAGCCCAGTTAGACCCAGAACTGTGGATTTTCAGCTGGGATGTTCCCAAAGGAAGGAACTCTGAGTGAAATTTCTCTCTAAAGGTCGGTGACCTTTGTGCTGCTGCAGCCACGGGAGGTTGTTGTGATTGACCTGCTCAGGAGGAGAGCTCTCTCATCCATCACTCAGCACTGGCTGCAACCCAGAAACCTCTGACTGTGGAATGGTTCCAAGTCTCAGGGCTGATTCAGAAGCAGAAAGGAGCAGCTGTACGAGGTGTTCCCTCTGTGGGTGGTAGGGAAGGGGGAGAAAGGAAACCCACTGTCTCCTGTGTGAGCAAGAGCAGGAACAGGCCATAGGAATGGAGGTCAGAGAAGGACAGAAGGGAAGGTGACAGGGGCTGTTAAAGGCAGAGCATTGGCAGGAGCTGGAAAGAGCAGGCAGAGAATACAGGGGGGCAGGAGATAAGGACTTCCTTAGAAGAGAAGACAGGTATACCTGACTCTAGAGAATGGCACTTGTGGATGGACAAAAACCATCCCAGCTGCCTGGACAATACTGAGAGCAATTTGTGGGTGACATCTAGGTGCCAAGTGAGGGCCGAGAGAGCTGGGGATGGTGGCATCTCTAGGGCTTCAGGGAGCTCTGTGTTGGGTAGGCAGCCTGGGGCAGGCAAGCAGGAAACCAACCTCTTTCTGGGCGTGGTTGAATCTGCTTTTAGAATCAGCTTCTCCAAAGGAACATTTCTGTTTTCACCAGAAGTTTTCTTGGAAGGTTTCAAATCATCCTTCTGTGCCTGGGGAAAAGGAGGATGCAAAGAGCAGAGAGTGAACAGCTGAGGTAGGAAGGATGGGAGCTGAAGAGAGCTGGAGAATATGTTGAGTCTTACCTGGGACAGAGTAAGAGTCAAGTGAAGATGCTGGGGCTAGGGAGGGGATTCAGGCTAAGGGAGACTGGATGGAAAGCTGGCCAGGAGCAGAGTAGGACCTAGTGTCAGTGATGAACAAGGACCACTGACCTCCTGAATGCCAGTGTGTGCTTTTGTCCTTGTGGTCTGGCACGTGGGCTTGTGGGACTGGCAACATGGAAGAGATCAGGGAAGAAGGCAAGTTAAAATGGGATGGAACATTAAAATAACATATATTGCAATGGGAATAAACAGCACCTGCTACACTAAAGTCTCTCAGTTTGTATATGCTGCAGTAAAGGGAAGGAAACTGCAGGAAACAGGCTCATAACCCCTAGATAAGCACAGAAAGAGCTGTTGCTGCTTTGCTGTCTTCTCACACCACCAAGAGGTGCTCTTGACACAAGTTTCTTTCTGCATGTGCAGCTGGACCAAGGGAAGGCAGGCACCCATTGGGGGTTTCTTGTTCCCTTTGCTGAGTTTGAGGAAGGCAGTAATTGGAAAGAATTGCTCAGGGAGACAGTTTTGCTCTGAGAGACTTCAGGGCCCTGGGCTGGGTCACCTCCAAGTGACCCATCTATGCTGGGGTGTCCTACAGCACCCCTGCAGAGCAGCAGGCAAGGGAGAAAATACAAGATACCATTTTTCCCCTGGGAAGGATCCAAAGCATCAAGGACTGTTCCATCTCTCCCTGTTTTCCTGTCAAGTTCTGTTTCCTCAAGGAGGATGGGAAAAGGGTGAAGGAGCTCTTTCAGAAATCATGTTTGTCCTTCACAGTCCTGCACAGGAGGGCAAGAGCTGAGCAGGAGGCTTGTCCTTCAGCAGACAGAGGAGCAGGGGGAATCCTTTCCTGGGGAGAACAGGAGGCTCATTTCTTTGCACACACAGGGCACGGCCACAGCAGATATTCTCATTACCCTGGGCTTTGGTGGGATTTATTTTCTGTAAGTTATCATCCAGGCAATCCTGAGTGGCCATAAGCCCTTTTCTCTGTGTGCTGGGCCTCTGCCAGGGGAAAGAATAATTCTCTTCAGCCTAGCTGGGCTCTCCTCACTGGCTATATTCCCCTTTTGCAGCTTCCCACTTCTCCTTTCACACAGCCTCATGCCATCTCCCTCCTGCTTTTAGTTCTTGCTTTGCTGCTTCTCTTCTCCAAAACCCCCACCCCTCCCTGCTGCTGCCCCCCTCTCCCTTCCCTGCTGGGGTTTCTGCTCTGAAAAGCCTGCCCTGAATTCAGAGCTCACATCCTAACTGAAGTGGGGTGATGGACCTTAGGCCATGATCTTCTGCAGTCCCTGGTAGAAGAACTGTGGGGTTGCTTCATATAGGATCCCTTATTTAACATACCAAGGGCTTCTCCAGCCTAAATTCATCCTGTCAAGCAAAAGCTTAGGAAAAAATACCTCCAAAGTTTCCAATCCAGCCTCCCTGAACACAAACCACCTACATTTACAGCATAACCCATAAGGAACTCCACTTGCCAAGGTTGATACTGAGTCTTGGACCAACCCTACTGCAATCCAGAGGCAAGTGGTCTCTTCCTGACACATGATGTCTATCTTCAGAGTGGGACTCCTTTCAGCCTCTCCAGTTTGGGACAAAATAGCAGCTCCACTGCTCCTATGTGTAACACTGGAAGAGGTTCACCTCCTGAACCTCTTCTCGAGCTACCTCCATGAGCAGAAGACCACAGCACAGACCATTGGGCATCAAGTTCTTTGTAACAGCTGATTCACACTTGCAGTTCGCCCCGTGTAGTTGTTCACAGACTCTAAATCATACAGGGGTTTTTATGATTTGTCCTTAACCTGGTTCTCTGTAATTCTGCAAGTCCCCAGAGAGTTTGAGATGGGTTTCCATTCTGACAAACATTTTGTCCTCAGCCCGTGACAACCTCCATCTCTGTTACTGAATGGCCATAAATACAGATCAATAGCTGTGTATCCTTTCCCACGAGGTGCTCAGATGGTTCAACAATATTTTTCACCTGCCTGTTGCAAAAGGAGGTAACAGGGACTAGAGATCACACACATAAATCCTGATTTGAGAGTCAGCTGCTTGACTGGACTCCCTTTCCTCTTCAAATACCATCAGATGTTAGATACAGTATACTTTCTAAAACCAGATCTAATGCACATCTTTACTGATAAGCTATGATATCTTCTAGGAATGCATCAGGGAAGTGAGAAGAGCTGTTTAGAGTACTAAGGAAATCTATAACCACTCCATTTTACAAGACTAATATTTCCTCAACTACCAAAGAAAAATGTTTTGATTGACTTCTACCTTTTTTCAAAGCTTTGATGTTGCTGCACTTCCAGGCCCAACAAAAAAAAACCCCTCTGGCTCCTTATTTAAGTTTATTAGGCCCTAAGTGACTCTCCTGTAATCTTTATAAGAAGTTGGGTATTTTTTTTTCCTGTGGCCTTTTATAATCACTATCTTTCTACCTTTTAAATAGATTCCAGTTCCTTGAATTAGTAAAAGCAGTTGAAAATGGGTTATTCTAGGTACTCTACACTAGTAGCTTTATTTACTACCTGCATGTTTGCACCCTGAGCTGCTCCTCTGGCTGCTCCTCACACTGGACAAGGATTATTTCATTCCAAAAGTTAGAGGAAAAATCCCATTATTGTCTTTGCTCTAATGCTGTCTTACCTTGCATCAAAATACTGTCTGTGCAGCTCATA